ACGGCCAGACTTTAATACAACTTGAGACCAGCGTGCGGCTCAGTCCCGTGGAGCTCTAGATTAGAGAACGAGCTATTCAGAACCTTGCACACAATCACGCTGGCAGAAGGAGTAAGGCACTTCTGTGGGAGTCAGCAAACGTTAGCCGGGGCTGCAGCGTCAAGATAAGAGCAGAGTAATGAGCAAAGGACTCACAACCAACTTCCTTGACTGCGTTCCTGCGGCGCGTGGTGATTCCTCACATCCTGGACACAGCTTGATAAATGGACGCCAAGAGCTGAAGGTGGCGTTCCCCGCCTTTGTCTCTTTAAGAGTGACTTGGAAACTTGGTTTAGAAAATGCTTCTATTTTGAAAAAAAAAAATACTAGATTTTGCAAGTGCCAGACCAATAAAGGAAAAAATAAAACAAAACAACTACAAAAAACAAAACAACCCCCCAAACCCAAAAAACCTTGTACCATGGATTTCTTATAAATTCTCATAAATTCCAATCCAGGAACATCAGTCTAGAAAAAGACAGGAGGCCATGACTGTGAAGGTATCCTGAGGGCCACGGAACATGTGGATTGTAAAACAATGAGGCCATTGCCACCACTCGTAAGATGTTTAATATATGTACAGTACGTTATTGCCACTCTATTCACGAAGGAAGGCATCTCAGAGGGAAGTAACGCATTGGATGACACATAGCTAGCTAGCAACAGAGCCTGGGGCTTCTAAAATATACATTTTTTTATTTTAATTAATGTTAGTATTTGTTGGGCCGAGGAAGTAATAAAGTACGTATCACACAAGCATGGGAACGTGAGTTCAGGTCCCAGGCCCCGTGTTATGAAGCTCGGTGTGGTGAGGCTCACCTGCAGTCCTGAAGCTAAAGAGAGAGGGGCTCCTGGGGCTTGTCGGCCCGCCAGTCTAGCTTACTTGGTAAGTTCAAGCCAATAAGAAACCCTGCCTCAAAACACAAGGTGGACAGCACACAGTATATAAGATTTTTTAAAATTTCTTTTACATTTAGTGTGTGTGTGTGTGTGTGTGTGCATACGTTTGCCATGGTACATGTGTGGAGGTCTGAGGAAAACCTGAAGAAGCTGTTCTCTCTTTCAGTGTGTGGATTCTGGAGATCAAACCTAGGTAGTCAGTTAGAGCAGTCACTGTTTTCTTGGCGTGGGATGTCCTTCTGTATATAAGGTGCTTTTATTGGTTGATGAATAAAGCTGTTTGGGCCAATGGCTTAGCAGAGTAAAGCCAGGTGGGAAATCCGAGCACACACACACACACACACACACACACACACACACACAGAGAGAGAGAGAGAGAGAGAGAGAGAGAGAGAGAGAGAGAGAAGGCAGAGTCTAGGAGACAGCAGGTAGCTGCAGAAGGAGAAGGACCTTCCCGGTAAGCCACAGCCTCGTGGCCATAGATAGATTAAGGCCCGAGTCATTGGTTGAACAGTGCTGTGACTAATATGGCTTCTGTGTGATTATTCGGGTCTGGGAGGGCAGAAAGGAAACCAAGAAACAAACAAGCAGTCTCCCCCTACATTTTCTACCTGCCGATCATCTCACCGGTCCTTAATGTAAACCTCTGTGAGATGGAGAACAGGTGTATGGTCAGCAAATCTAAGCGCTCCAAAAGGCCTGCGAGACAGGTGTGCCTTGTTGCCCTTAGCCTTTTGACTGATCTTCCCAAAGCCTTCATTTTTCTTGTAACCACCACGCTCCCATTTTCAAGCGCTTTCTTCATCTTACTTCCTCCTGCTATTCCTTAAAGCAGTCCTATTATCGTTTAATGGATGAACAACTGGGTTTTCTCTGCGGTGCTTTTTCTTTTTCTTTTCCGTTTTGGTGTCTGTTTTTCATTAGAGGTAATAAAGCCTCTCTGATCTTTGTTTGACTGTGTGTCACAGTCAGGAATTAAAAGAATAATTAAGGACAGAGGGGGGAGGGAGGGAGAGGGAGAGAGGGAGGAAAGATGGTTCACTAAATAAAAGTCTGGTTAAATTTGAGTTTTTGATAAAAAAAAAATCCCATCTAAGTGTATTTCCAAAATGTAATGGGTTAAACACACACACGCACGCACACACACACACACACACACACACACACACACACATACACACCCCAGTTGTTTATTATGACTTTGAAGCTGACAGCTTTGGGCATGTGGTTTATAGACCCCCTAAAAACTTCAGAGTGATTGGGTTCTGGGCTTTCATTAGATAAAATCCAGAGTCTTGGTTCATTTCATTGAACCCCTCTGTTTGAGACCTGCTTCTCCTCCCCATGGCAGAACCCCCATTTTCATTTCTTGGGCTTTTCCCCGAGAGACACACAAGCTGGTCCCAGTGGGGGAGGGCTTCTCAGTGCTCTGTAAACTGACTAGCGGGTAATCTCCTTGTCTAAGATTTGAGTGCCACCAGCCAGGCACTGGGCTGAGCTCTTGGAGTTCAGCTGAGGAGAGGGAGGAGGGATCACACGAGCAAGAGAGATCAAGATCATAATGGGGAAAACCAGAGAGACAGCTGCCCCGAGCTAGTGGGAGCTCATGGCCTCTGGACTGACAGCTGGGGAGCCTGCATGGGACTGAACTCTGAATGTGGGTGACAGTTACATTGCTTGATCTGTTGGGAGGGCTCGAGGCAGTAGGACTATTTATCCTAGGTACATGAACTGGCTTTTTGGAGCCCATTCCCCATGGAGGGATACCTTGCTCAGCCTTGATACAGCAGAGAGGGTCTTGGTCCTGCCTCAACTGGGTATTCCAGACTTTGTTGATTCCCCATGGGTGGCCTTACCTCCTCTGAGGAGTGGATGGGGTTGGGATGAGGGGAGGCGGGGAAGGCAGAAGAAGGGAGGGAGAACTGGGGTTGGTTTACAAAAAGAAAAAAATGTAAATCAAAAAAAAAAAAAGAAAAGAAAAGATTTGAGCACCACGTCCACCTTTCATGGCATTTTGGGTGCAAAGCTTCACCAAAGCGCTGCCGCGCGGCCGCTCATCAGTGCCCTCCTCCTCTAAGAGCCCTGCCTCTTACGGCTACCCAGCTGGGTCCTCTACCATCTCACTCTGCCACCTGCACAGGCTACTCTTATCAATTGTAGTGCGCCCTCTCCTTTTATATTTAACTCTTTAGAGACACGACATATCATGAGACTTCCAAGGAGGAGGAAGGCTTAATGGCGATGACAGAAGGAACTATAAATCCAGGCCAATAATACTCACAGCCTCCCTCCACTGTCCCGTGCAATAATCCATCTAGCAAAATTCAGTAATAAATGCCTGAGGCGTGGATGGCCCACTGTCTACACCAATATTCCTTTTTGTTGTCTCCATTGTTAGTAGACACTAAGGTTATTCAGAACAAGGTTTTCCTTCCCCTACATTCCTTGATGCTAGATGCAGCCATGAAACCAAATTCTGACTAGTGAAATGTAGGCGGAAGTATTAAGTGGCAGCTTCCAGAGCGCCTTGGAAGACGGCCTGAGTTACTTCTGGCCTCCTTCTTTATCCCATCTTCTTGTTGACCTGAAGGTGAGCAGCCGCACTGGGACTTGAGCAGCTGTCCCTGACTAACAGGTAGAAACTGACGTCATAGGAAGAGAGAGGAGACATGGTCCGTGAGGACTTCATTAGCCACCACACCAGCTGCAGGTTGTGGGTCTCTGTGCTTCTTGTATACAGCGGAGAATTGCTGCTTTGGGTTTTCTCTTTCCTACCACTGAACCTAATTATAACTGATGTGGTGTCAAGGTCCAGTAAGACTTGAAAGGGAAAATGGTAGAAGAGACGAACCCTAAAGGGTGAGTCAGTTCAGACAGAGGATGGAGCAGGCGTGGGGATCGGATTCTGTGTAGGAATGATGATATGCTATGATTGTGGTATAAGGGACATGGCATTGTTTCAAAGGATAATATGTAGTCAGGTATGGTAAGGCAGACAGGTGCTAAGGGGAGCACTGAAAGATAATCATGCAAGGGAAAAGTGGGGTCACAGAAATGGCTCAATGGTTAAGGCTGTGTTGTTCATGCAGAAGACCAGAGCTAGGTTTCCAGCACCTATACCTAGTGACTCACAACGGCCTGTAACTCCAGGTCCAGAGAATTTGACATCTGCTTCTGGTCTCCAGGGGCACAACACTTATTTTCATGAACCCCCATATATACATACAATTAAAAAATAAACATTTTTTTTAAAAAGAATGGAAAATAGAGAGGGGACAATAAGGAAGGATTTTACCTGTCAAGCTAAGTTTAAGGTTTCCTTAATGGCTGGAAGGTGGGGATAAGTGCCCGCAATGCTGGGAGTTAGAATGAAGCATTTCAGACCCCCTCCCTGCAGCTAACCTGCATCAGGGTAATACAGATGAGAGGTCAGGAAGACAATCTCAGTAGAGAGAACAGAGCAGGAGTTACAGAACTCAAAGGGGGAAGGATTGGAAATTTATGGCGGATCTGGAAAAGGAAGAATACACCTGGGTGCTGGGGAAGCCAAGAGTAGGAACTGGCACAAGGCATCGGTAAGCCTTTTACGTCAGGAAAGCTAGAAAAGACCACAGCCTTTGGTGACAGAACAGGGGATAGACAGCTGTTCAAAGTACAAACCAGGGACAAGGGCATGGGACACAGGCTTAAGTGTCTAGTCACGCTTCCATCCGTGAGCATAGTTCATCACCATTACAGAAACAAATAATATTGGAAATAGCCGTTGTAGGCAGCATATGAAATATCCCAGGTAGCACTTGGCTTCAGAGTCATGAGATCCAAAGGAAGGCTCGTCAGCATAAAGAAGACTTCAAACTGGTCACTAGCATCCTGAATTATTTTTAGCGTGCAGAAACTGTCCCAACGAGCTGAGCTTAGCTAAGGGAAGGACTGATAGCAAAGCTGGAATAATTTAATGCAGTTAATTTAATGCAATAATTTAATTCAGTCTGGACCCAGATGTTAATTAAAGATGGAGTGTTAGTACCCATCTGTCAAATAGACCAAGTTCCAATACCTACTCAAAGTACAGCGTGAGGTCGGTGGCTAGTATCGACTGCTTCAGGAGCTGCATGAGGTCACTGTACTCCTTGGAGGACAAATTAGCGAAGATGTTGTGACCCTGCAATGAGAAGGCAGAAAGTCACACACACCATTCCACCTGGAGTTGATAGCTGCAGGTTTTACCTGTATCCTAAAGATGATCAGAACGTGAACAAAATTTAAAGTTTGGTAAAGGTTTTTGCTTTTTTTATATAGATTCATTTTCATTTCTATCTTTGTGTGTGGATGTATGGATGGATTGCGGATCCATGTAAAGATATGCAGGTACCCACGGAGACTAGGGGAGGGCATCAGATCTTCTCCTGTTGAAGATGCAGGTGGTTGTGAGGTACCTGACTGGGGTGCTTGGGACAGAACTCAGGTCCACTGGAAGAGTAGCAAGTGCTCTTAACTGTGGGCCCTCACCTTCTCTCCGACCCAAAGCTTAACAAAAGATTTACAAATACAAACAGACATCCTGGCACACAGCAAAGCCAGAACGTGAGCTGCCTCAGTGGAGGTTTACTAAGGGGCACGTTATTCCCTTCTCCATGTGGACAGGACTCTGAAACTGAACGTGTGTTAGATGGATATAGAAGTACGGAATGGAGTGGGGAAGTGAGCTAAATGCTTGGGAATCTTTCTGATCCCCAAAGAAACACTGCTTCTACTAGGAAAGATTTAGCTGGCAATCTAGAAACCCTTGCTATGGTGACAAGTGTCTTTGAGAAAGAGCAAAAGTTGTTAGACTACGGTGTCTCAATGGGGGAGGTTTAGGCAATGGAAGCATTGGGAGTAAATAGAGACATTTTGGACAGTCATGACTACCTGGGACACTACTAACTTTTAATACCTTTACTAAGAGAGGCTAGGACGTAGGTAAACAACCTTCAGTGACCAGAGGATGATGGAGGAGGGTTATCTGTCTATGTGTTATTTTCATTGGTTAGTAAAGAGACTGCCTTGGCCCTCTGATAGGACAGAAAATTAGGTAGGCGGAGTAAACAGAACAGAATGCTGGGAAGAGGGCAATGAGGCAGACGCCATGGAGCCAGCCACCAGGTCAGACATGCTGAATCTTTCCCGGTAAGCCACCACCTCGTGGTGCTACACAGATTATTAGAAATGGGTTAATCAAGATGTGAGAGTTAGCCAGTAACTAACTCTCTAGAGATAATGGGCCAGGCAGTGTTTAAATGAATACAATTTGTGTGTTGTTATTTCCGGGGCTAAGCTAGCCGTGCAGGAGCTGGGCAGGACGAAAAGCAGGCCTACCCGCAGCTCCTTTCTACAAGAGGATGCCACTCAAAGACCTAGCTCCTTGCTGAAGTGAGGAACCCCCCACACTGAGCTGTCAGGCTGCTTTGATAACACATGTGCTGGATTAAGTTATGAACAGTTAGAACGGAGAAGTCATTATCTGGGTGCCGAGGGGCTCTAACGATGACTTTTACCAAACAAAAACTGCAATACAACTTGACCTCCACGCTACTAGAGAACATTCTTGTTCCTTCTAGAAGACTCTCTTGGCAGCCCCAGGGTTTGCTGTTAGCAAGGTGGGAAACCCTTCAGCAATGCGATTGTCATTTACTCTGCACGCTTGCCGAGTCGGGATTTCTTTTTGTCTGTTTTTCTTAGCATGAACTAAGAACTCATAAGCATGTAACCCCAGAACTGGATCACTTTGAACCTAGAACTGAGAGCCAAAGGTTGGTGGGGAAGAAAAGGGGCAAACGACTTCTCAAGAAGAAACTAGTTTCCATGAGAGGTAAATTAATTTATCCAGGGGACCAGAATATCAATTAGCAATTTCATTTGAATCAAGCGTCAGGTAATAATCTGCTTCGCTGAGCTGATTTATTTCTTCAGGTGAACCCTCCCCTCCTGACTACAGGGTGTTGGCTCCACCTGGGACCAAGTCCAATACTAATAGTCATTTTAAATGAACTCTTCTAGGCCTCTAATTCAGCAATTAAGAGGACAAAGAATTCAAGAAAGGCTGGACCAGGAATTTGTACAACTTTTTTCCCTTCTATTTTGCCTGAGCATCCCCCTCATGGGACAGTTACAAGCAAGCATTCTGGAGCCTGGGAAAGAGTAGTTTACAACGTTTGGGGAAATGGTCACCTGGATTCAGCACCGTCACTTGGGGAAAGCAAGGCAGCCTTAGGAGCAAGGCTGAGTAGAAGCTTGCGGTCAGACTAGGGGACTCACCTGAATCTGTGAGGGTTTTCTGTGACTCGCATTTTACTGATTTTAAAGGTAAATAGTGCTGTTAGTGGGGAATACAAAGCCAGCCAAGTCAGCTTTCACTTATAAAAGTTAGTTTGCCTCAGGGCATCATTAAATACGCAAATTAACCTTGAACAGCACCTCAGGGTTTGACCCTTAAATGGAAATGAGTCTCTCACAAATACTGTGAGAGTCTAGGTCTTAGGGAAGCAGCCTTGGGTGTAGGGAACCAGCAAGAATGGCAGGGATGGGAAATCTAGGGGTAGAGAAAGAAAGGCTTGAGGCTAGCTTCTTCAAGACCTCTAAGCTCTGTGTAAATGGGAACATGGGATAGGCGTGGCATGCCTTCCTGGTGGCAGAATGGAGTGGACGTGGGGCCTGAAACTCATTGTTCGCTTCCGTGTTCACTGGTCATTGTCACTGGGAAGAAACTGCTGGAGTAGAGGCTGACCAACGTGCCCTGGTTAGAAGACCCAGACCTAAGGGCGCTGGGCTGTTTATGATCCCCATGATTACAAAGGCAGTTTTCTGGAGGCGGAGGTAGGGACTCGTCACATTGTCCACCAGGGAAAAGACAAGCTAAGCAAAAGCACCTGCCATCCCTGCCTCCTCCACGGCTCTCAGCTAACATGTGGCTTTCATATTCCAGAGCCACAGACGACAGGAAGTTGGCTCCACCGGTTCCCAAGGTCCTTACTTAGGAGCTTTATCCTAAATGAAAACACAGCACCTCTGGCAGGCTGCCTTGCCCTAGCCCACATTCAGGCTCTGGAGCAGTGGGCCTCTGTTATGAGGTTGAAGGCTTTGGTGATATTACAAAAGACAGGTTTCCTCAAGATAGTCTAGAGAAAAAACAAAACTCTCCATATTTAATGATGCCATTCCAGTGAAGCAGGCCCTTAATGACGATAATAATAATAATTAATGACATAGCCAGAGAACTGAAAAATAACAGGGGACAGACGATCCCTTCCTGGCCAAAAAAAAAAAAGTTTGTATGCCTTCATAAAATTAAACAGATTTTTTTCCTGGCAAGTTAAAAACTCAGCTGCTGCAGCCAGAGTCAGTCAGTGGTTTCTGTTTTTCTCTGCAGAGAGAGACAAGTTGACACTCCAATGCCTTCTGAGTCCCATGTTGCTGCAGAAAGCAAAGTAAGGCATATGGCTTTAACCCCAGCCTTGGGGTTAGTAACCATCTCTCACTTCCAAATGCAGTCCTACCAAAAATTCAGTTCTTTTGTCTTTTATAAGCATCTCAGTTTCACTATCAGAGCTTGACTCTTCCTGTTTTTACCATCCCTTTGCATGGTGTTGGGTTCCACAGAATGGAAAGCTGGACCCCTCTGTCATAAATCAAGACTGCATTCTTCAAGAAAGACACGATGATGATGCTCTGGTGATAGGCAACCTCCACCTGGTACTCCGTAAGTGATCCTGCACCTGCAAAACCTGCAAGACCTCTGACAGAGCCGAGTGAGGCAGCTCGGGAAGACCTGGAACAAGGTCTTTGGCATTGGATAGGTTCACAAAAGGCAACAAGGTCTGAGTTTAATGTAAACTTGGGTTCCTACTTCTCTGAGTTTGTACGTGGCACATCAGGGAGCGGAGACCATGCAGTTGGCCTTCCGTCGAGGACAGAAGCGGAGCAGGCCTCACCTCACTCTGAAGGATCATCACAGCGTGGTTAAAATGGTGATGCTCTAAGGTGGCCGATGTCCCGTAGAGCTGGGCCAGCGCAGAGTCACTCCTGAAAGAGAGCAGAAGACTAAGTAGGCAGGACCCTTCATCTTAACCGCTTTTGGTGGCGGACCGTGAGCAAATGCTTTCTCCGAATTGCTGTGGACTTCGTTTGACCTGTAAGCAAACTTTTCAAGACCTTTCTACGCATTAGGCACAGATTGGCAAGGGACAAGATGTGATTTTGAGAAAAAGTAAAACAGGCAGCGACAGTACAGATACCAAGGGCTGTGTGTATATATGTATGTGTGTGTATATGTGTGTGTGTATATATGTATGTGTATATATAACTTTTGCCTCTGTGATCCATGTAGGCTTCATGAACTAAACCTTATAGATCTAAATATACACAGGAACTTTCTCCTATCAGACATGTCTGACTGTCCACAAGAAGAGACTTGGAGGATATTCTATACTCTTCGGAACCTACTCTGCATGTGTCTTAACAACCATCTGTTAGTGACAATTCAGCCACAAGGCACATCTTAGTGTAGAAGACCAGAGAGCTCCTTGGATCTGAAGTCACAGCTCTTCCTTCTGTAACTTGCCTTAGGCTATCACTTGACTTTAACCTCAGTTTCTTTGCCTCTTCAATCGTGCCAGCATGGTCCGCCTCATCTGCTATTTATGAGGGGACAACGGAATGTTTGAAGGTGCCTGTCATAGTGCCAGGTAGGGAGTAGATAGGAGTCTATATTAGTTATTAATAGATAATTAAAACGCACATGGACATTTCCATTTTAAATGAACCCAGTGTTCACTGGTACCTGGGGTGGGGATTCCTTTGAGTTATCCGTAAATTTCATGTATGTAGGACAGTCCACCTCTCAACAAGGTCAGTCCAGTGAGGCATTTAGTTTCTTCGGAGTTGGAGTTTGAGCATGTGAGGGGCCAAGAGAGACCTGTTGAGAATCCATCCAGGTCCCTGTGTTCTTTGCTGGCCTACTACAGGGAGTTCCTGAGGAGAGTTTGGCTTTAACTTGCAAATGACAGAGATTGCCATCCTGGAGCTGATCCTGCCAGTGTGAGAAGGAAAGGCGGCACCGTACACAAGAAGGATTTCCATCCCAGGCTGCCTGGCTCCTGACAACCTGAGGTCGCCGTCAGTTCCGGGGTGCAGAGGGCCCATGATCCCTGGAAAGGTTCAGCGCTCCTGCCTCCTGAGTAGCAGGAAGGTTAGGTGAAAGAGAGCTTGTGATGAAGAGGGTTAACGAGGAAGGGAACTAGATTTTAGTCGGGTATGTGTTATCTCCTTAAGTCCTGCCTAAGTCCGTTACGTCATCTAGTGAGTGGGCAGAGGTCAGGCTAGTCTCACTGATGGGTTAACATTTAAGGTCGGCCATCCATTGTCATTACATAGAAGGCGTTTCTGTGGCAAATGCACACAGCGTGTCTTCGACTTGGATGCTGAGCTTCCGTGTGCCTGACATGGAGAAGGTGCTTAAAAGTAACTCGTTCATGGTGCTGTATGGAGAGGGTATGGCTGAACTAGGAGGCTGACGGTAATATCTGTGTCAGCATATTTTATAATATATGTAGTTTATATGTGTATTTATTTATATTTGATATATAGCATATTATATTTATTTTAAATATATATGTCATATATTTAAAAATATATGTGTAATATATTTTATAATAATTATATTACTGCTAATAACCGCCACCATCCGTGAGTGCCTACCACGCATTGGGAGTCACACTGCCCCTTGATGTATAACCCTACTGAGTTGAGTTGTGATAACAACTACAAAAGAGGTATTGTTTCTCACTTTACATCAAAAGAAACAGAGGCTCAGAGAAGTTCCCAGGTTTTCAGAGGTCACAGAGCCATTTAGTATCAGGCCTGAGTTTGAATCTCCGTTTGTAAGCTGCTCACAACAGTGGCAGAATAAAATGCCTAACACACATTCCTGATACTTGACCCTCTATTTTGACAAAGCTGTTGGCTGCCAATGGAAGGAGCTTTCAAAACACAATTTAGAAGTCCGCTAGCCTAGCAGTTAACCCCAGGCTCCGCGCCCCTCCTTCATTCCTGTAAACTGGCTTGTTCCTGGACTCTTCACTTGTGGGTATGAGCCCTGGGGACAGAGTGGCTGGGGAGAGGAGGGACGTCTAAGCTCTCTCTATCCTGTTGGTTTTCACTGCATGAGAGGTGAGCTATAGATGTTCACAAGTCACTTAGGAAGGAAAGATGCTAGTGCCGTCCTCCGCCAGAGGATGCCGTAGGAGACGCACTGAGGCTTGCTCTCCTCTGACCTTCCTCCCCCTGCTCACTTGGCTTCAGAACTGCTGGCCTCCAGCAGGATGCTTAGATTCTCTATTGTGCCTTTCTGTAATCCCATCTTACATTCATTCAATACAGAAAACGTGTACATTTTGAAATTGAACCAGACTAATGTGGCTTCAGTGCAGGCAGATGCTGGAATTCATTCATTCATTCATTCACTCATTCACATGAGCATGAAAATGTATCAGTAATGTAGACAACAAGCACTGATGACTGTTATTTTGTCAGGCCCCAGGAACGTGAAATACAAACGTGTAATTTGTGGAGCCTACCTTCAGGAAGTGCACACTCTCCCAGATTTCTGTAGAATGCTTTCTCTGTCCAGTCCTGTACCAGAATGCTCAGCTTCTTCTTGTACGTAAGGAGCCATCTTAGTTTGCATCCAGAGAATGGAGCCAGTACTAACCTCAGTAAAGTCACTGAAGGAATGCTTATGTTCCATGAGGACCCCTGATTTGTACTATTGTGTGTGGTTCCTACCAGTACTTCTAAGACTTCTAAACCTCATGGTGCCTTCTTTCCTGGCCAAGATGCACCAGGAATTCTGTCTGCCATGTTCTTATGTTCTTATCTCACATACTATGGCTGTTCTAGGAACACCCTGCCAAACGCCACTTTACACAAAACAGAAAATAAATATAGTGGCAGAAGATAAACCTATCCGTTGGGGTAAACTTTCTCAATAAACATTCTATAGACTATTACTAACTTGAAATGCCCAAAGATATGACAAGCTGAAGTAAAAGGGATTCCAATGTCAAATAACTGGGAGAAATGCCGGCTTTAAAAGCTCAAACTGCCTATGGTAGGATTCCCCAGTGGCATTGATACGGAAACACATGCACTAAGGTTCTACAGGGAGGGGCACGAAATGCACCTTATGCACTCTGAACTGGCCATACAGCCATTTCTAAAGAGCTCATATCTTTCGTGTAAAACACTGTATGGATACATACTCCTGCTTTTTAAATGAAGAAACCTTCCATCAGTCATATAAGAAGGCTGACTTTAATGCTGCATCTCATTTTGATTGTCTATGATAAATATATCCGTCATGAGTGGCTTTGAGCACATACCCAGTAGCTGCAGAAATACGATCATATATATTTATATGCGTATGTGTGTATATGCAGGGTGCATGGGAAGCGGGAGAGGAAACATGGTAACTCATAAACGTGAAAATTCCTGATGTGCGTTATTGCTTCAATCCAAATACTGATGCCTTTGACTTTTAGACTCTCGCTACACAGAACAGAAATGAACGGAAATGTAAAAGGGGCAGTTCTGTTACAGGCATCCACTGCCTCATGCAGACACCCAAAGTCCGTGCATACCAAAGTACGCCCTTCCCACAGCCTGAATATGCATATTCCTTGAGAAAAAGAGCTAGCAGCGGCCTGCAGCCGTGGCTTCGAGGAAACTTTAAACAGGCAAACTATGAAAGGTAATTAGGAAGCTGGGAATTGCTGGGAGGTGGTGAGGAATGGGATTAGGCTGTCAGGGCAGATTAATGTGCCCCCGTATTTCACTTCTGGGACCTGGCCGAAAGCGACAAGATGGGTTTTCATTCCCAAGAAATGAGTGTAAGAGATTATGCTAGAAATGAATGGAAGGAATCTCCTAGGAGAATATACTCCAAAGCTGTGCCGTACTGATATTTAATCATCGGGGGCAGCTGTAATAGAGAGGGGGATGAGTGGGCCATGCTGTCCCTGGAGAGAAGAGAGGAGAGCAATTTCAGAGTGCAGTGGTATTGGTGGCCTCTCTCCCTATTGATCATTCAGTGCACGCTCTCCAATACTTAAAAATTAAGGATAAAATATGAAAATGCAAAGGCTCACTTATCAGAAAGGCTAAGGGCATAAATCAAATGGTGCTCTAAAGTCGCACTTTTTTATTGTGGAGGTATTTTGCATTTTATATAGTAATTTGTCCCTTGCTAAAAGTCTGTTTTTTTTTTTAATAGCTTATAGTTGACAAAAAAGGTAGCCTATGCTTTGCCACATAATGACTGTAGCATGTAAGCTCTGTTGTTCATCTGAACGGCTGGGATGAGAGCATGCAAAGTTTAAGGAAAGGGATTGTTTGCTGCAATTCCTACTTCTCCCAGAATGCTTAGTGCCAGGCCTTGAACACACACACACACACACACACACACACACACACACACTCCATGGTTGAAGAATGAAGGCGGAGAGCAGGTTACAGGCTTCTTCTTAGGGATTTCAAACAACGGTACCCTCACTGGGGAAATCTTACTCTATTCACTGAACAGCTGTGTTAAAAGTCACTCTGACATCCACTGTCAAACGGAATCTTCACTGAGGCCGAGCTAGCCATAGGTGGTGTAAATCTAAACGTGACCTCACAGGGGAGTGGAAGGGCTGATGGGCATCTACGAGCCGGGGAGCTGGAGGCAAGCTGACTTGGTCTGAGAAAATGCTCCGTACCGTCTTAGAGTACAGAGAGTTGATAGTGGGGCTGGAGGGCACAAAGCACTTCAGTGTCAGCGACTTATTACTTACCCAATATCAGTGAAAGTCATTCAGCCCAGGGCCTGAGAATTCGGGGCGTTCACTGCCATTTTTGCCAGTTTAAGACACTGAATGCAGAGGCTCAGTTCGGTCCCACAAGCTCTACATTTGGAGTTGCTGAATGCCAGGATACATTTTAGTTTTCTAAAGCTTATCTGACAAGATGGCTAACAAACCGAAAGCTCAACTCAGTAGCCCAAGACAGACGTCCCAAAGTCAAGGTAGCATTGGTGCAGCAGTTAAAGAATGGCTTGGATATCAGAGATCTCACTCTGACCGCGGTCATACTACATTTTGGTGGATGTATTTGGACAAGCTGTAAAACGGAGACAAAACTATCTACAGAAGATGGGGCAAGGGCTTGGTGGAGTGAAAAGACGAATGACCCTTTCCTGGTCTTGGGGACGGTTTTTTTGCAAGAAACAAAAATGAAGAACGATGACCTTCATCAGGAAAGGTCCTGATTAACTGGCCTGGAAACCCTGACGAGATCATGAGAGCGGCTGAGGGCCCCAGGAGTAGGAAAAGTAATGGGGAGAGACTGGTACGATGCCTGATTTCTTTTCACTTTCTCTATGTCTACACTCTCCTTTTGACATCTCTCTGCCTGTTACCTTCCTCCTTTCTGGCCTTCTTGCTTCTCTCATCCATTTGGTATGACGTCATCATAGCTCCTCCCGACAGCAGTCCTGAGTCTACAGGGAGCTGTAGCTCAGCTCTCTATCGCTCACTGCCGCAACGTCATGGGTATACATAGCTATGTCTGCTCCGTCCGGCTCTGGTTAGGGGTGGGCTCTCGGTCTTATCTGCGGAGGGGCCGATGTTGAGAAGCGCTTCTCCGTTCAGTGTGGTGCACAGACTGCCTGGGGAGGGTCGTGGTATTTGGGGACATCATGCCACTGTGCATGGTCAGTCTTCAAAAGAACGCACAGGGGCTTCACTCCTGGTGTACAGACACAATTCTAACTGATTGGCTCTTCTTTCTGCATCATTAGTACTATGATAGGGGTCTGGGAAGAGGAGCCTAGGGGGGCATAAACTGACAGTCTACATTGGCATGGGGAAGAGGAAGCTTAGAAAAATAAGACATTCAATTTAAATAAGACACTGTCAAAAGGAGCATGTGGTATAAACATTAATAGGTTTCACTTATGTTTCACCATCCGCATCTGTAAAAGGCTACATTGATTAAAAGATCAAGAAACTCCATTGAGATGCTATATTAAAATACAACCCACTCAGTCACCATTCATTAATTCAGCGAACATTTCCTGTGTGTCTGTTACGTACCTGGCATTGCCGGGTCACAGTTCTTAAAGAAGAAGAGGGGTACATCTGGAAGTCACCAATTACAATGGAGGCCAGTGGATACTTTTGGAAAGACTTTGCCAGGGCATTCTGAATGCATGGACCAGTGATGAGGGGAGTGTGCATGGGGCAGAACCCTGGCAGTGCTGTGTTCAGAGGAGCTGTGGGGAAAGGAGCGGAAGGGCGTGCTCTGGAGCAGGAAATAGCACAATAGACTCCAGAAAGATGTGAATTAGCAAGTCTGAGAGCACAGCTCTTCTGTATGGGATGAATGGATGAGCAAGTAGGTGCTAAGCTGGAGAAATGAGCCGGAATCTAATTTAAAGGAGCCTCACAGGGTTAAATTACCGAATAGGAATATTTACAATTTACAGGAGGCCCGAGGACAGAGCAGGAGAGGGACATGGACACCTTTGTGAACAGGAAAAATTCTTTTAAAGTGCCCATCAGACATGAGGACAGCGGGGCTTGCTGCTGCAGCGTCAGGAGAGCTACAGCAAATAGAAGTTGATCCAAGAGTGCAGAAGAGGGGTTGGCCTTGCTGAGATGCCATGAAGGCTGCCGAATAACCTGCACATTCCTGGGGACAGAGACAGAGAAAGAGGGATGCGGATGAAGGGGGAGACTGAGAATGAGAAGACTCTGGGACCTCTAGCAGTTGGCAGGAGGATCTGGAGATAAGCAATTGTGAGTCGTGACCCTGAGAAATGTAGCCAGGGCTCAGGAAGGAATGGGTGAAGGCTTGGCGCAAATTGTCAAGAGAGCCGGAGAGGAATGGGGGACACAAGGAAAGAGGTCTTGAGGCAAACTGAGGAGGAAGACTATGTAGGTAGATAAAGATTAACTAATTAATTAATTAATTTATTTATTGGAAAAAACCTAAGAGAAGTTTAGGAAGCGGAAGTAAGAAAATAAGGCCCATGGAAAACAGGGCCAAGAAGGGAGGGCGTGAAAAAGGGCACAGCAGCTTCGAAAGGGGGCCACCGAGGGTGGTTTTCCTAGGGAGAGGGGATCGAAAGCCCTGTGCGCAGGCAGGGGTTGGAGGCAGTGAAGACAACCAACACAGACACTTTCCCAAGAAACCTTCCCCGGGAAGGAAAGAAGGAAATGGAACCATCACTAAAAAGACAAGTGGAGGCGCCGGTCGACTTTTCAAGATGGGCAGGATTACTCATGTTAATTAGATGCAGAGCACCCACTGACAGGAAAACACAGATACAGGAGAAAGGCGGGAGATGGATGGAAAAGGGTCCTGGAGAAGCGAGGCAAGAAAGATCCCAAGCAGAGGGATTGGCCGCAGACGTGGGAAAGACAGCATTTTCACTGAGATAGGAGGGAAGGAGGAAAGGATGGGGTGGGATAGATAAGTGTGGAGGTGGCAGGGGAGGAAATTGAGAGCATCTTCGATTGATGGCCTCAATTTTCTCGGTGAAGTAGGAGGCAAGGTGATCCGTAGCGTGGTGTGGGGAGGCAGTGGAGCTTGGGAAAAAGAGAACACTGGCGGTGCGTAACTGCCAAGAACGGTGCAGGCTGAGCTGGGGGCGCATGGGCAGAGACTGACACGGAGTCCTGAGCGCGCAGCTGAGTTGAAACGATGTCTTTCTACTGTGTCTCAAGCTCGCACAACTGTGATATTTTCTCCCGGGGCTTTGACAAGTCTAGGCAGGGTAGCTAGAAATTGAATCGGTAGACTGAACCAAGGCTGTGGGGTTTTTTTTGCAGGCCTGGATGTCACAGAGGTTTAAGAGGGTCAAGGAACTGTTGGATATTGTCTATTGATGGGGAGGCCCTTGAAGTGCTGGGCTAGAGGATGAAAGATGGAGAGAGAGGAGGACACACGATCAAAGCAGTTTGCTAGACCAGATCAAGATGTCAAGGTCCGGCCCAGGGGGTGTTTCGGGGGAGGAAAGCTGAACCACAAGGTGGGTTGTTGGAATTTCAGCCGGCAGAGAGGTCTACCTGTTTGGAGAACTTTGAAGTCTGTCACCTGAAAGCTAATCCCAACCCTCTATAAAAGCTGTTCCTCCTGTTCCCTTCCAAAACGTCTCTCCAGGGCCTCTGACCGGCTCCTTAGCAGAGAGTTAGCTCAAAGAACATTAAGACTTGACCTCATTGCGAGAGTCCCGACACCTGGAATTTAACATGCGCTAAGTTCTGTGGCCCTTGCTACAACATGAGCCACCAAGCAGTGACTTTCTTGACCAGTGGAACTTTCTTAAGAGCAGATTGGTCTAGGCACGTGACTTAGGTGCAGGGTGGACAGTCGCTTCCCCATCCCTATGTTTATGTGAGTCCTTTGTCTGGTTTCCGTCTCTCCATGGGAATAGGGAGAGCAGAACACTCTTTGCTTCATTAATCTTCCTGAGCCTCTTTTTATTGCAATCACCTCAAAATCAGACTCTAGAGGAGCAGATCCTAGCGGCCTGTCATGCCACGGAGGCAAACAGGCAGGGAGGAAGAGAATAGGACTTTGAAAACCTGAACCGCGCTCTCTGATGGAGGTCAGCAGAGGCAGACCAAATCAACAAGCATGACGCGAAGGGCAAATTTGCAATTAAAAGAAGAATAGGGAATTATAAAGATGGATGGGCCCCGTGACATGCATGCCCAAGCCTGTGTGGCCTTGGCCTCCGATGCCAGAAATTAATGCTTTACTCCTTAGCGCTCGTCACCTTTGGCTCCAACCAGAAAGGCAAATGCATTAAAATCACAACAATTAGAACACTTACTTAGCTTGGAAGGCGTTGTTGGTCCCCCTGTGGTCGAGGTCATGACACAGGCATCCCACAATCACCGCTAAAATTTCCACCTCGGTCAGAATCTCTTGAAATCCAGCAGTCTGGGAAAAAGGGGACAATGGCAAGTCAGTGCCAGGGGCAGGGGGCTGGGGAAACCCAGTCAGCTGAGCAGCAATCGGCTGGTTTCAGGCCCACACCATTTTAGCAAATGATTAACTGTCACCCTCTTAGATGACAGCGCGTTGAGTGGTCACTTGCTTAGCCTAAGGTCCCCACAGTGAGGGATTCGCTTGCTGTCACACTGGGACAGAGATCAGTCTGCTTCATTTCCTTCTATGGAGAGGAGGTTGTGTTCTCCACACCGACAGTTTGGGGAAGGCCCAGAGTGAAGTGTGTTTTCCCACTGCACACAGTATGATGAGTGTTGTATTTGGAAATAGGGGGATATGAAGGGACCTTCAAAATTGAAAAGCTCTGGACCCTGGATGCTCCTCAAATGAGAAACAGCAAACACAATAAAACCTTCCTTATAGTAAATGGAGGAACAGAGATGTACTCAGATTGCTGCATGATGACGGTCTAGAATTATCTTACAAATTCCGTAACCCATACGTTCAGTTCAGACAGACTGAAACGCATGCAGGTAAATCCTAGAAACCGAGATTTGGCAGCGGACTAGACAACCAGGACTGAGCATCACGGGAAGAGCACATGATTTTGAGGCCTTTGTTTCTGATCCCAGTAGCTGTGGGAAGTACGTGGTTGGGGTGTAATTCCTCCCGGACGCAGTTGGATATCATTACGGGCACAAGAACTGCACCGGCTCTCTGGTTGCAGCTGGCCCTTCATTAGTCTGGAGGAGGAAATGCACCTTTGGGAGAAAGATTTGTGCTTCCTCTCCGTCCGTGGCCTTGCCAGCCCCTCCCCTTCGCAGTGGAAATCTCCGCTTCCAACTACTTATTAAATTCTTTATCAGAAGATAGGAGGAGGGGAGCCTGCTGGAAATGACTTTCCAGGTATGTTTCTCCACCACTAATCTCGGATCACAGGCTAATACCTGTAAGACTTTTAGGGCAATGAAAACCTTGTTCTTTTAATTGGTTTTGGTTTTAATATAGACGTAACTGAGTGATGGATTGCTGTATTGACAATTTTATTTCTCCAAACTGCCTTGGTTCCTCGGTGAGATCTGGAAGCACATATGACATCACTTAGGCAGCAAATGGAAATGCGAATAAACTGACGGGGGCTGTGAAGTAGTCCTTGCCAAAGTTTGGCGCACCCTTCATTTTAAAACTTGTTGGATATTAGGTTTTGTTTATTTTATTGCCTGTAATCGTTTTAGAAAACCACGCTCAGAAACTCTCATTGTTCATATTTCCTGATTCCTAAAGGCAACCACATCCATTTGTTTAGCTAAATTGCTGACATTTTTACTGTATTGCCACACGATGTCCATACGGTTTAGTACTCGATCACTCATCAAATACCTACACAGTCTTTCCTATGTTACTATAAATTCCTCTAGGAGTTTTTGACTGCTTAACCTACTTAATATTTTTTTTAACCAGTCTTATGAGGCAATAGCCATGATTGTCCCATTACGAAGGGGGAAATTGAGTCACAGAGGGGTTCTACCCTGTGCCTAAGAACTCACAGCTAAAGCAGGGCAAAGGGGAGTATACACCCACATCCCGTCCCAAGTGTGCCTTAAAACATTGATGGTGTAGTGGTGATGGTCCCCGCATTTCCCCTCCACTCCCAATGTAACCCACGCTCGGAGCTTTCCTCATGATCACCCTCTAAATACTAACTACCCACCGCTAGGCTGAAGAATATACAAAGACTCTTTTCTTAAATACTTTCACTTCCTGGAGTTCAGATCTCTTTGAAACAGCTGTGCCTTTTCATATCCTCCATGACTTTATTAAATGTCACTTAACTAATTTTGAAGAGAATCAAACCTCTCACACTTCTTGCGCGGTGTTTTGTGTCCTGGAGGAAGTCAGGTCTGGCTTGTCCCCTCTTGGGGCTTCTCCTTTCCCCTTCTGGGGATGATCTCTTTTGTCTTGCATCCTATGCCTTTCCTCGATTTCTGCCTCATTTTGCAGGAACACATCTGTCAGTTTTCATAAAGAAGTGTGTCCATTTCTTGGGGATCCAGTTGCTCTAGGTTCTGCATGGCTGGAATGGGGACAGGAGGACCATATTCTATTTTCACACTCACTCTTAGTTTGCCTAACAGTTCTGGGGGGAGGGGAAGTAATTTCTTTCAGAATTCTCAAAGACTAACTACTTCATACTTTATTGTCTAATTTGTAAAAGTTGCTTTTGGAAAGAATATGACTTTCTTCTTCTTCTTCTTCTTCTTCTTCTTCTTCTTCTTCTTCTTCTTCTTCTTCTTCTTCTTCTTCTTCTTCTTCTTCTTCCCCTTCCCCTTCCCCTTCCCCTCCTCCTCCTCCTCCTCCTCCTCCTCCCCCTACCCCTCCTTCTCCTCTTCCTCCTTCTCCTCCTTCTCCTACTCCTCCTTCTCTTTCTCCTTCTTCTTCATTTTTCAAGACAGGGTTTCTCTTTCTCTGTGTAGCTCTGGCTGTCCTGGAACTCACTCTGTAGACCAGGCTGGTCTTGAACTCACAGACAGAGGCCTGCCTCTGCCTCCCTGAGTGCTGGGATTAAAGGCATGCACCTCCACTGCCCGACTGAATATGACATTCTTATTTCTAATATTTAGCATATTAGTTTGCTTGTTTGCCTCTAAATCTCCTTTTCATCCATGGTGTTCAGTAATTTCATAAAGATATAGTTAGGTCAGGATTTCTTCTCATTCTGTTCATATTGAAAATCTAATCTGTGGGTTCTATTTCTACAGCATAGGGTTCCTCAAATCGTATTGTTGTTTCTCTTCAGTATATTTTTTATTACATTTATTTGTTTACTTGTTTAACTTTTACATGTATAGGTACGGGTGTGCCGTGGGGTCACTTTCAGGAGTCTGTTCTCTTCTCCTACCGTGTGGATACAGTGAATTGAACTCAACTTTTCAGGCTTGGCCACAAAATGTCTTTCCTTGCTGAGCCATCTTGCCGGCCCATCAATATTTTTTCCTGTTCTATATAAGTGGGACTCCAATAGGTTGAGTATCAATTCTATTATTTTTTTTAAAGATCTCTTTTCTTCCATTTCCTGTATAGGCTATTCCTCTTTCTTCCCAGGAATTTGGCATTTACAAGTATTTTTTCTGTTCCTTTTATAATTCCATCTATTCTTCCCCCACAGATGTATTCACTCTTTTCTTACCTTTCTGAAGAAAGGAATAACATTTCAGATAGTTTCTCCTGGTCCTTTGAATCGCCTGTGTGCTCTGAGCCTTTTATTTGTGTTCTCTTAAATGTCTTATGATGATTACTCACACACAGACATGAAGGGATGTGAAACTCACCCTGCCCCAGAGTGGGTGCGAGGTGCCTGCAGGCTGCCGGGCATTACCACAGGGTGACCAAGTGTCTGTCAGGTCTTTTATTGGAGGTCCTCAAACACTAGATCAAAGTGCATGTCTCTGGACTTCCCAGTCTGTTGTCTAGAACAATAGTGTAAACACTGGAACAGAAAGGGGCTGTGGCTTTCCTTCCAGGGAGCCGTAGGCCTTCCTAGGATTCTCTACTCTCTGCTGTCTTGTCCTCTCATGGGTATCCTCAAGGATGGTGCTTTCTTCTTCTTCTTTCTTCTTTCTTTCCTCCTCCTCCTCCTCCTCCTCTCCTCCTCCTCCTCCTTCTCCCACTCCCTCTTCCCCTTCCTCCTCCTCCTTTTTCTTTTTTTCTTGAGCAAACACTCTGGTTCCTGAACAGATTGAGGTAAGAGCAGACCCTCAGCTATGCAGAGGGGAGATGGGGACTTGGGGTCTCAGCATGCCACTGTACCCTATTTAGTGACCTCTGAAGTCTCTGGTTCCCAGGCTTTGGCAGGTCTGGGGAAATTATTCTCATGTATGCCTCTTCTCCCTCCACCCCTGCCCTGAAGGCAGAGAGCTGGACCTTGTTCTTTATTGAGGAGTCCTAAACTATCATTCTCTCTCTATTTTCTGCCTTTGTTGCTGAGTTTTTACACAGTAACCTTTTATTTTTCCCCTTCTCTTGAATTTTGGCACCTGGCTCTAAAATTATTTATATCACAAATACTTTTGAGAATTTAACGAGATACATGAACCCCTTTTCTATAAAATCTTATGATTTCATATGACTCCAAGGCTACGCAGCTCATCTCTGAACCCTTAGAATAAAGACTCCTTGAAGTTTGCCATACGCAGTACAAGGCATATTTACCTCTCCCGGCTGTGGCACCTGAGTTACTGAAGCAGCACCCAACTCCTGACTGTGATTTAGAGCTGCCGGGTAAATGGTTTCTGAGAATCGTCAGGCCTGAGAAGTGTCCACCTGCCACTAAGTTTTTATTCGCTCCTCCCACCCTCATCCATCTTCCTTCAGTACCATCCATCCACCCATCCACCCACCCATCCACCCATCCATCCATCCATCCATCCAGACCTCCATCTACCCATACTGAGCAGAAAAAGCCAGCCGTCTGCTGAAGAGGATATACTTTCAAAGAGAAAACAGAGAGGCAGGGGGAGTATGTCTTGATGTATTTATTTCTTGACTCTAGCTTATTATTTTATTTTCAAATAAAATTATGTACCTCCTCAATAACTATGAGTTTTCTTGACCCTTGTGTTAATATATCTTCTCACGTGCGTTCTCATGGTGAATATCAGAGAGAGGAGCAATAGAGACAATCTGTCCAAGTATCTAATCCTCAAGTTACTTGCTAAGAAAAGCCATGTTATTTCCCTTTGACGCAGCCTCTGGGGCCGCCTTTCAAGGGGCTGATGTGTTTTCTGGGATAATTCTTTCTCTCCCTTCCACAGCACACAACACTGAAGATTGCAGAGTCCCCAAGTCCAGAAGACACCTTTTCAGGTTCTGCTAGGCTACCAGTGAGTTTCTGTTAGCAGTCAACATGAGATCTAAGGCAGTTAGGACATGGCTCTGTTTTGAAGCTGAGTCTGCTATCGGTCAACGCAAGATTATCACAGACAAAGAAAGTG